GGGGGGGGGGGGTTGGCGCGCCTCCGGGATCGCCGGCGGCTACGGGAGCGGGGGCTACGGCGGCTTCTGGACCCGCGTCTGGGGCGGCGTGAGCGTGAGCGTGAGGCCCGCCGCGAATCGGAGGAGCGCGAGGAGCGCGAGGAGCGAGGAGAGGAGCGAGAGGAGGGGGACGAGCGAGAGGACGAGCGGCGGCGACCTTTCCTGGAACCTTTCCGGTCGCGGCTCCGCCCTCGACCTCTCCGTGGCCTCTTCGGGCGCTACAAGTGTCGGGACGAGCACGTCAAACACCGCGCTAGAGTAGAGTGAGGCTAAAGGCCGGGCGCGCGCAGGGCGGGAGCACTGTGACGGCTAAAGGCCGGGCGGGTGGTCTCGGGTGATCTCGGGTGATCTCGGGTGATCTCGGGTGATCTCGAGTGATCTCGAGTAATCTCGAGTGATCTCGGGCGGCGTGCGCAGGGCTGGAGGCGCCAGTTCGCTCGGCGCAGCGGGGCAAGCGTAGTCTGCGTGCCCGAGCGCGCCGCACAAGCCGCACCGCTCCACGTTGTGGCCGAACCCGACGCCGGCAGAGAGGGCCTTGTCGACCTGCATAGGGAAGACATAGGGAAGACGCCAGAGGCAGGGCAGTGCAGAGGCAGGGCGGGGGTCAGTGCAGAGAGGGCGCGTGAGACCACGGGCTGTGAGTGCGGCGAGTGCAGCTGGATGCAGCCGAATGCGTGTCCTCTCGAGAGCTGCTCGGGGTCCGCCTTCCGCATCTGGGCCTCGAGATATGGGGGAGATATGGGGAGATATGGATCTGCCTTTCCGCATCTAGGCTCCGACAGCGCGGTCGGCGTGGCGAACGAACGCGCGCGGCGAGCGGCGGCGCGCGTCGACAGCGTCGCCGAAGACTCCGCTGAGGGAGGAGGAGCGGGAGCGGGAGCGGCGACGCCTCTCCTCCTCGTCCTCCCACCGCAGCCGCACCTCCTGCGGGGCTTGGGCTGGGGCTTGGGCGAGTGTCTCGGGAGTGTCTCGGGAGTGTCTTTGAAGTGTCTTTGACGTGTCTTTGAAGTGCCCCGGACGTGGCTTGGAGTGTGGGTGGCCCAGAACCTGATCCCCCACGCGGACGACTCTGCGCCCGCGTCCGTCGCGGTACGGCTCGTTGACGCCCGGCGCGTCTCGCTCCGGCACGCCGCTCGCCTGCTCCAAACCGCGCCGTCTCCCGCGCCACGCCGTCTCGCCACCGCCACCGCTGCTGCCACCGTGCCGCCACCGGGGCTGCGGCGCGCAACCGAGACGCGGCCGAGGTGCGGCCAAGCGCGGCCGAGGTGCGGCCGAGGCGTGGCCGAGGTGTGTGGCCAAGCAAGACTCCGGCTGAGGGTGCGCGCGCCTGCTCCGCCCCGCGCCGGAAGGCGATGAAGGTGAGCGAGTCGGTGCTCACCTGAGATAGAGGGAGATATGGGGAGATATGGGGAGATATGAAGGTGAGCGAGTCGGTGCTCCCCTCGCGGGGCAGGGTGCGTGGGGTGAGAGCGAGGGCGAGGGTGCGTGGGGTGAGGGCGAGGGCGAGGGTGCGTGGGGTGAGGGTGAGGGTGGTGAGGGTGGTGAGCGAGTTTGGTGCTCACCTCGCGGGCCAGAGGAGGGTCATATCTCCCCATATCTCCCCATATCTCCCCATATCTCCCCATATCTCCCCATATCTCACCTCGCGGGCCGGAGGAGGGTCCGACGCGCGGCGGAGCTCGGCGCCTCGATCCTGCGCGGCGAAGACACCGGAGTCGGGGCGGGAGGACGGCCCCGTGCAGTGTGCAGTGTGCTTGGAGGCTCGCGCGAGTACACCGGCTACAACGCAGCCGAGTGCAGCCCGAGCACCTGTCCTCTCGAGTGCTGGCCGGAACACACGGGGCTGTCTTCCTGCCTACGCTCTTCCCTCATCTACTGCTCGCGCTCCCCGAGGGCGGAGCGCAGCAGCGACTCAGCGGCGGAGACGTCCGCCTCGGCGCCCGTCACGATCACAGCCCGCTCGTTTGCGCGCGGCGGATGCTGCAAGTCGCCGCACTGGTCGAGCCGCGCGCGCGCCTGGAGCGGAGAGGCAAGAGGCGAGATCACAAGGTCAACACAGTGGACGGCGATCGCGTTGCTACAGCTGTCTCTCCGGCCATCTATCCAGTGGCTCACTTCCGGCTTCCCATCGACAACCAGCAGGCTGCACCGGCTCTGCTCTCGCAGCCTGCCGACGGTCTCGCCGCCGCGCCCGATGATGCGCCCGGAGCAGTCGCTCGGGATGATGTACACCGTCCAGCTGGAGCTCGCCGCGGGCGGGAGCGGAGGAGCCGCGACGGCGGGCGCCAGAGTCGGGCCTTTCGCGACGACTGGTCCGCGCGAGATGATGGGCCCGCGTTGGATCACGGAGGGACCGGCCGCGGTGAGGTCGGGCCGCAGCGCCGCCGCCGCCGCCGCCGCCGCCGCCGCCGCCGCCGCCGCCGCCGCCGCCGCGGCTCCATCGACACGTGCAGCCTCTCCGGGCCGCAGCCTGAGCGCCGCGGCCGCAGCGCGAGCGGCGGCAATGCCCGCACTGATGTCCGCGCCTCTCTCCATTTTGGAGTGACTAGCAGACCTTGCGCGCTTGGCGCGCCCAGGAGGTATTTTCTTCTCAATAACAAGGCTGTGAACCAAACCTTGCTCAAGGTTCTTGGGTGCAAAGAGCGCGGCCACAAGTCACAGGGCCCGCTCGTCCATGCGACCGGCAAAGGCTGGGTCAAAGAGCACAAGGGACAGTACTACGACGCGCTCCATGTCAAGAACGGAATCGTCAAAATTTGTCTCGTCGAAAGCCAGGGCGGCATCGCGCCGCCAACCAAGAGAATCATCTTCAACTTCGCCAAAGAGGTCGGCAGCCCGAGCGCCGTCGACCGCACCGACTACGGCACAGCCTCCGGCTGGTCCGGCAGCGCCCGGCCCCGGGGCTTCGCCCAACACCACTCGCAACAGCTCTCGCGCGCCGCCGTCAGTGGCGATGCGCAAAACATCAACAACGCTGCTCGCAACATGCGTGTCGCGCACTCATTCATGACCGGTCTCAATGCCCCACCCCCCTGCGCGCGGGCCTTCTAAGCCCGCGGCGGCCGCGGGTAGTCCCCCCCCATCCCCAGGGCCTCCAGGGCTCGCACCTCAACCTCTCACAGGCCAGCGCACAGCGCCATACGAGGTATTTTCTTCTCAATAACAAGGCTGTGAACTAGGCCCGCGGTGGCGGGTAGTCTCCCCCCATCCCCAGGGCCTCCAGGGCTCGCACCTCAACCTCTCAAAGACCAGCGCAAAGCGCCATAGGACGTATTTTCTTGTCAATAACAAGGTCTGTGAACATACGACGTATTTTCTTGTCAATAGGCGCCCTCCGGCACTCCCACGCCTCACGGGGTCGCCCCTTGCCCGGGGGGCGAGGGAACCCGAGATGCGGAGCCTGTTGCCGTGGAAGCCAGCACCTGCACACACTGTCCTGCATGATGACTGCCTCTCAACCCACCGCCGAGGTAGACGCGGACGGTCGCACCGCCCTCCACCACGCCGCGCTTTCAGACGACACCGAGGTTCTCCGCCAGCTCGCTGCCGGCGGCGGCGACGTCAACAAAGCGGACGAGGGTGGGTGGGCGCCTCTCCACGTCGCTGCGAGTGCTGGCCGCTTGTCGGCGGTGGAGGTGCTCCTCATGAGCGGCGCAGACGTGGCGGCCTCGACGAGCGCGGGAGGGTCCGCCCTCACTTACGCGGCCTCCAAGGGCCACTTGGCAATCGTCGCAGCTCTGCTCGAAGCTGGCGCCGACGTGCGGCACGCAGATCGCGGAGGCTCAACACCGCTGCATCGCGCGGCCTCGCGCGGCCACATCGCGATCCTGGAGCGACTGCTGGCCGCGAAGGGCGCGCGCACCGCCCAGGAGAAGAAGGACAAAATGGGCTTCACGCCGTTCCACGTTTCGGTCGTCGAGCAGCAGGAGGAAGCGCTGCTGCTCCTCGCGACGGCCGGCAGCGACGTCGAGACCGTCGACGCTGAGGGCGTCAAGGCGTCTGACTTGCTGCCCGATCGGCTTCGCGCTCAGCTCCTGGAGGGATGAAGCGAGTCGGCCCTCGAAGGCTCCGCGGTGCGCGGACGGGCGACGGGGCTGCTCATTCGCTCTCTGCACGGACGCCTCTCTCTCCTCTCTGTATGGCCGTTTTCCCGTTTGCGTGTCGGTCGAGCGGGCACAATACACGCTCGTATTGGGCGATTGCTCGAGTTCTGGGGTCGAGGCTCTGGCTGAGGTCATGAGAGGTTCAGAGGTACATTTGAGAGGACAAAACAGGCAACCCTGTCTGCACGTCTCGCGCGCGCGTGAACAGGGCTCCA